ACTTAATTTCTTTAAATGGGTCTTAAGTTACTCATGAAAGTAAATTAATTCTTCTCATTTCTAGCCAACCATCGTGGATTTTGGCAACTGACATTACAACTGTCACTAGCAAATTTTATCAACTACAGTGTAGGATAAAATAGCATTATCTTATTATTTATGCTGAAACCGCCTGAGTTGTCTTTTAAATGTTTCTTGCTGATTTGATTTAATCCATAATCTCCCCGAAACGTTTAATACATGACATTAATATAAATACCGATGCTAAAGCAACATATCTCAGTCAAAAAGTCAGTGTCTCCACCACATAATAAGGAGTTGCATTGTTTTTGTATTGAGGAAGTTATGTCTTTACTGCTGAACTGATTTTGGGTGAGGTACAAAAAGGCCCCCATTAACTATTCAAGCAGTTTTGAATAAGGAGGCTGATCCAGGAATTAGTTTTAACTTTATGCAGTTTTTGAAATGTTGGGTAATTTTCAATAATTCATTCAAAGATCTATCTGAAAACAAAATCATAATAGAATGTTAATATCTATAAACAGGTACAGATCCTGATAATGATCTGGATGTATCTGGCCTCAATACACGTTAATGCCGTATGGTGAGAAAGCAGCTTGGCAGAGGTAGTCGCTCTCCCACGTCCCTTCAAGTAAAGTAAAGAATAAGAGTCAAGCAAACATGTTATTAATTCCAACATATGCAATGAATAGTTCACAGGCTTCATATGGAAAAACGACTTTATTTTTATAATTTAAGAGAAAAAGCAGCATGAATGAAAACCAATAAGTTAAGCAAATTGAAAAAGTCTAAAACTAGTTTGGCTCCCACCCACCCACACACACACACACACTTATGTAACTAGAATTCTTCTATTGGAAGGAATTCTACAGTGGAGATACAGTAGATGGATAACGATGCTTCATAAAGGGAAAGAAGGGCACAGATCTGACAACGCAGAGGTCAGAGCCTCTGCTATATGCTCGTGAAGAAGAATAGACAAAAGAGGAAGAGAAGGTTATTCAGCTGTTGCACTTTGAATTCATTGTGGATGTGCGAGCTTCAGAAAATGCCTCAATGTAATATTAATCAATAGCAGAGTAAGTACGCTTAGAGAGAGCATAGGTGGAGAAATAATAGATGAAGTATATAATAGTATAGTCACTGTAAACATAGCTCTGACCCTAGGAGCACACATAAGGATCTTCTATTGATAAACTAAAGATTAAAAAAGAGAGGGTATGAAACTGTTGTAGAAGAAGAATCACTTGCGTTTCATAGTGGTTGGGCTTTAGACTGTATAATGAAAAAGCCGAAGCAGCAGTCCAGGTAGACTTTATGTATGCATGCACAGTTTAATTGGAGATTTATGAAAGCTACAATTCAACAAACACAAACTGTCCTTTAGCTTCATTTTTAATAACCCCAACTTTACTCTCCAGTGTAATGTCAGGTCTGTTGTGTATCTCCTATCTAATTAGGGCTGCTTCTGTGAATGTGATGGTGTGAATCATTAGTCCGAGGTCCAGCTCTGCTGTTAAATGGGCGTGTTTCTTTCCCTTTGTCACCAACAACAAAGCAGCACATGAAAGAAGATTCAGGGTTTCAACAAATTCACTATCACTGTAAAATGAGCAAAAAATCCCAAATATAGAGTTTGGATACAAATATACAAAATATCTGAAAAACAACACAGAGGAGACGGTACCTCAGGCTTTGAGGTTATTGGATGTTTCTTTTTTCCTATGCTTGAGGAAGCGTGAACTCTAGCATACAATGAAAATCAACTCATTAAGGTTTTCTTCAGTCATATCATCTTTAATCTCAACAAAAAGATTCAGTATTTTGATTTACGGAATCTGTAGCAAGGGACGAGAATTTGGGGGTTAGTTTGACCAATAACGTTTGAGCAGGCTTCAGCCACCATCAGTCCATGTGGAGAGAAAAAAACACATTGACCAAATACATTGGTTACCAGCTTTTTACCCTATCTTCATTTATATTCTGCTGATAGAGATACTAATAATGATTTAACTTGCTAGTTGTGGAAAAATAAGTCCAACTCCATTATCGCCTCTCAATGTGCTGGTCAGACTGTGCACAGCAAATGGAACCCCCCCGGAGACTAATTTGTCATCACACAATAACCAATTGGGCTCCAAAATTGTATCTTCATTAATGTCAAAGTAATGTTAGACTTAAATGACATTTAGCAGCCTATGGCACAGAAATAAGCTAAGAAAAAAGGCATAGAAGCCTTTAAAAAGTTGACACCAGTTTGCAAAAAATGTTCATTACCTCAATTATGAAATTTAAAAAGCATTTTACACAAGTAAACTAACCGACAGTAGTTTATTTTCCTACCTTAATAGGACTAAATGATTTAGTTATGTGATTTGTAACTGCCTCATATACTGAGAATGCACAACGCACTCATACACACACTTTTAAATCAGCTTCCATTCAGTTGTGGCTCGGCAGAGCTGTTTGGTATGAGGTCAGTGTTTTTGTCCTTGGCTGCACCCACTGAGATTGACTCAGAGTGACCAGCACTGCTGTAACTGACACTGGCTATCTGTTTCCAGCATCTCTGCTACCAGCCGCCAAATCTGCCCCCTCCTCCTCCTCCCCCAAACTGTTCTCCTGTCCTCGGGCCCCGCTCGGCCCGCCGCGTCTCCGGAGATGTCACATTCATTATTTACACTCAGGGTTTCTGGGGCCCCACGGCGCTGGCTGACTTACCTCATTTGGTCTCTATCTCCTGGCTCTTGTGACACACACATATTACAGTAGCAAATAGTCAAAATCACAAAAATAAATGCACAGATTTATTTACACGAACATGAACACGCACGCACACGAGGAAATTAATTCAGCCTTGTTCGACTCTGTTTCCATTTTTTGTTTCCTTTCTCGCTCTAGGCTGCTGTAAGCACACAGATTAAACTGAAAGGTTGTGTAGACATTTTGGCTCAGAAAACATTTCAGTTTCATGATAAACGCTGAAGATAGTCACATCACATTGTATTTTTTAATGCTTCACATCAAAACACATCACTTTCTTTTAAGAATTTACATTGAAAACTAAGCTAGTGTGTAAGACTACAACAAAAACCTCCAGTTACTTCACCAGAAATACTTTTCCAAATAAACATATCCAGCTATACCACAGAAGCCAACCTGGCTGTCAAAAATATATTTTTGAGTATTTAATACGACAACACTGATGTGGCTCAGCAAGGTTTTCAGCACGCTGTGTGCAACCACGGAACACAGAGGTCCATCATGTCAGATTTGGCTCTGGTGCTTTTATCTGGTTATTTCTAATGCTGAAGCTGCACCAGCATCTTTCCCTGTTGTTGTCTGCCCACAGCTGAGCAGGAATTCTCTGTTAATCCCACATCACATTTCAACAAATGCTTTTATTCAGGAGGTAAACAAACCGTGGATTGAATTTTTCTACCTGGTGTTTTGTAAACCAGTACAATGAACGTACTTTAGTCAAGTTGATTTACTTGACAAAACTTTTTCTTACCTGGATGACTTTCACTTTGTTGGCTCAGGCTACAAACACACTAATAGGTTTGTCTTGCATCCACAAGCCTCTAAATGTAGACTTTTGTAAACTGCTGGTTTTAGTTTGAAATCTCTGGAGTTGTGGTTTAGTCTGGACAGGCAGACATTTGGAAATAATCACACCGTCACCTGTATTCACTTCCTGATTGGGTCTTTTCAGTCACAACCATAGACTGTATATAAAGATGGACGACATGACAGCTCCGCAAAAGTGAAGCCAAAGCGTCTCCATTGCCACCTGGTGGCTGGCTGCAGTATAGGTCATAAATCTTGCCTCCTCCATGTTGGAGGATAGGACAGGGACTAAACTGAAAAGCTAAAGTAAGAGTTCAAATTTTTCCAGTAAGTTTGTTTTTAATGAGTTATTTGAGTCTATGAAAACAGGATGACGTGTCGTGGTTAAAGCAGGAATTGTCTCATGATTGGTCGATTGCATGCTTCTGTGGGACCTCACTACATCACCTGATTGCTACTGTGCAGACTCTGGTTCCAAATGTGCAAGACGGCAGCATATGTGTGGTATTTTAGCTTTATTTCTGGATAGTGGGAGGAAATGGAGAGATGTCGTCCATCTTTACACAGTCTATAGCCTGGACAGGCAGAAAAGAGGACATTTGGAAACAATTGGAAGTTTTACTAACACTTACTAACCCATGTCTACTTTTCGCCATTGCTGTTTTTCTTCATACTATTTTCTGAAACTAAGAACTTGAATGCTCACTTTATATGTGTTTTAAAGTGTTTTGGTATGAACGGAAAGTATTTCTCAACCAGAGCAACCATCCTAGTCTCGATGGAGGTTATTTTATTTTTAAAAAGAAGCCTCAGTGTTGAGCACAGTTGGTTCCATAGATTTTAACCAAGTGTTTCTGGAGCTCATCAGTATAATGTGAGCATCATTTGTCCATATAATACCCTGGAAAAGCTGCCATTTCAACACACATCCTGTGTTTTTTTGACCTGCCTTTTTACTCAGTATCTGTAAATGTAGGTTAACCTGAATAGTGATAAAGTTTTAAAGACAAAAATTAAACAAAGCCCTTTAAATTTCATTAAGAACAATACTTCTCTCTGAAGTATTGTGGAATGAAAAGGAAACTTCTACTTTATACTTTAAAAAGATCAAACATGACGGCCGCATGTCAACTTTATTCATCCAGCTTTTCAAAACCCTCAATCACAGTCTGAAAGAGCTTCATCACACCCACAATATGAAACAGTAAAGTGAAGAATTAACTGACAACCCTCTATCCTGAGGCCCTCGTCAAGAAAAACAAGAAAAGAAAATCCCATGAAAGGGAATTACTATGAGTCACTCATCCAAGTCTACAGTGTGCATTAGAAAACCCTCACAACTGAAATGTGTTGAATCCAGTTTCCTATGTGAACTCACACTCCCTCCCTCTCTGTTCCTCTGTCTCCAGGTGCAGCAGGATGCTGGGTGTACTGCCTGTGTGTGGACTGCAGCCCCTGCTGGCCCTCCTTCTGCTTCAGACTGCAGTCTGTGGTGAGTCCTCATTAGACCGGAGGCCGTCTCTGTCACCTGAGTGTGCTGTACAAACCTTGACATGATTCTACCAAACATTTCCAATATCCTCTGATGTGTGAGCTTATCTCTTGTGCAAGTGTTCTGCCCCACGAATCATCAGCTGCTTTCAGACATGCATTGAACTGGATAATCCGGCGCGGCTGTATGTGAAAATGCAAAGGTGGGATTCAGTTCCTTCAGACATTCTCAAGAGTTTCTCCTGCCAGCCCCCTGGTAAAAACTTTGGATGGTGTCTGAATGAGCCCATATGAGAACAGAAGGAGATTGTGCAGAGAGTGCACCACGAGCGAGTGGGCACGTACATGACATTTCTAACACCAAAGACACAACAAAACATAAAGAGTACAAATGTCTCTTGATGACAAAGAGAGCTTTCACAATAACAGCCAACCCCAATGTCAACATGCTGTGAACAAAAACACATCATCTTTGCAGTGGAATGTATTAATTACATATCATATATGGAGGCTTGAATCCTCCTGCATCGAGTGCAAGTTCTGTTCTTACCCAGCTCTTAACTGCATCTTCCCAAAAATGCATCTGAAAATAAATTTATGAAAGTCTTTATTTGAATTATAAATTTGTACTTTTGCAACTTGTGCACCCCTTATAATGCAACTTTAATACGTGAAGCATGGCCCTCTTACATATGACTTACATACAAGCCTCACACAATGAGACACAATGAGACAAATGATGCCTCCACTGCAGTGATTCATCTGGGATGAATATCTGCAGAGCAGGGGGAGGACACAGGAACTGGATGAGAGGCAGAGTGATGTGTGAGAAAGGTAATCTAGCATGTCCCTCCAATCAAAGATGAGTAAATCCCACATCAACTCGAGGAAGCCAAACAGCAAGCAATCACTGTGCTCTATAGGCTGAGTGCTCAGTGAGAAACAATGGGAAACTTTAACTGCCCCGTTTGTTCAGATAATGAACAGAAGTCACAGGTAGCTGTTTGTATTGTCTGTATCTTAAAGCTTCGAAAAATCATGAAAAATGCTCATCATCAAGATTCTAGTGTAAGAAACAAATTGAATATTCTGTCTGATCGACAACACAAATTATTTTACTTTGTTATACATGTAAAATGAGGAAAAAATGAATATATTCTCACATTAAAGAACCAGGGAGCACACATAAAATTATTAAAATGAGCTTTGATTCAGCTGAAAAGCTGAAGTTTAGGATCTTAATCCTCCTATTATGTGTCAGTACGTTGTCCTGCTCTGGAGAGAGATTTGACATTTAGTATCTTTTTGTATATCTGTTTTACTGACGTTTTTTTAAACCCTCTCTTTTACTGAGAAGGTCAGTGTGACAGAAGCACATGATGGCGTATACAGACAGAAAGAATGTCTTGCCGTCATACAGTTACCAACACAGAAACATGTGTGTAACTCATTTTCACGATCTGTAAGTCTGGTTGCTCCACAGCCTCCCCTGCCTGTCTCTTTGGCAGTTTATCCATCTATACCACAGAGCTCTGCAGGGAAGAACACGCATCACAAGGATTCACATCTCTCAGTCTTTTCCCTCCTTATTCTCTCCTTATTCTCCCTTCCTGTGCATCTGCATGTGTTTGTGCATACGTATAGGACAGACTGCACGCCTCCTTGTTGCTCCCGTTGGCCTCCCCAACATTCTGCTCCTCTTTGTGTTGTATTGTTTCTGGCTTCTGTTGCGGCAAAAGTAAAAAAAAAAAAAAAAAAATCCACGGACCTGGCACCGGGGCCTTTCTGTGACTCAGGGCTTGGATTCACAGTCAGAGATGATGAAAATACAGCCAACTCCTCTGTCTCTCTGCGTGGGTATATGTTTGTGAGGAAACCCTCAGGTTACATCTGCCAGGTGGTTTATGCAGCCAATTTGCAGAGCAGCGAAAAGCGTAACACACATGCACAAACACTCAGCATCTCCAAGGAGCCTGACAATACACATACATGTGCCTGTCAGAGTGTATATGTCATGCAAATACTCCTTGCTACTCTGCTCTGGAGGAGTTTAGTTAACATCTCCTGTTCTCCCTTTCTTTTTCAAACTTCCTGCACATTGTACTTTTTTGTTTCTGGCTGAGCGACTCTGGGAATAGTAACTTGGAGGTAGAGGAGTAGAGGAAGGGTTGGCACTGAGGCTTACCCCATGACACTTTGCCTGACAGCCCAGAGATTGGAAAGCGGGTGGCCGTGAGGGGGAGTAGGACAGATTAGGGGCGAGCCTTTTGCACGGATGCGTTATGTTGATGATCGCGTGGCCGTTCCTGCACTTTTGGTACATGCACTTCTGTGAGTAGTTATTAATTTAAGATGTTGCATGTTACACAAGATTAATGTGTCATTATGCTTCAGAAGGTGCAGAATTAGTCACAGCAGCAGCAGGGAGTTCCTGACATGGCCTCGTTGGGAGTTGGCTTAGACAGGGAGAGAGCTGCAGTGACATGGTTGAGATTTGTCACCAGAAAAAGGAGGAGGAGGAAAGAGGAGGGTGTCACGCTCCGTAACAGGTTTGAGGGACGTTTAGGAGAATTGGGAAAATGTGAAAATAGACCTTTAAAGGAAACGAGAAGAGGGGAAACAGAGGAGTAACAAGGAGGGGGTGAAAGATGCAAAGTCACTAAAGCACTTGAAAAGAAGCACTTAAAAAAGATGGATCCCAGAGGCTACAATAATAATCGTCTCCTTTACAGATATTCATGCTCTGCAGGTATATATCCTACTCCACTTTTTTCCTCCTCCAGGCAAATTTCATCCCTCATTTACGTAAAAATAAAAAAAAAAAATCACCAGTCTACCACAAGTCACCTGTAATCCCACAATGCTTTGCGAAATCACTCCCTCTTATCCAGCAGAAAATGAACGGGGGCAAACTTTTGTGTTGCCGAGAGCCACATTCAGCAGGTCCTCACTGTAATTATCAAACGAATTGTCGAGGCGGTGCGATCGCATCCGAAGTTAATGGAAAGACATAATTAGATGCAAATTCACCCTGGGCAGCACAAATTGATTTAACTCGTATGCAAAAAAAATAATATGCAAGTTAAAAATGCATCAGAAAATTGTGCACATATCTCCGGGCTTCATGAATGGGCTTCATTAACGTACAGAGTGAATGTAGAGAATTTGAGTCTCTGGTGGGATCTGAGATCAGTCAGAGGTCAAAGAAAGGAAAAAAAACACAGGAGCACTCACACACACAGTTGCTGGCTTACAGAGGACATCTGTGCACATGTGGTCAAATTTGTTTAAATAATACAATGCAACAACTTTACTTTGTCTTCTGCCTGAACACCGTTGCAATATTTGAATATATATTGTATTCCATGGTTACAAAAGTTACTCTTGTCCAATGCAAGCTTTGTGGAAAACATTGACTGTCATCAGTCAGACAAACAAGATCCATGTCTGTCTGCTCTGTGTAACAAACTGTTATTCATTCTCAGGTGGTTTCATGCAGAAGTTCTGTTCACTGTCTGGTTTTAGAGACGAGCCACTAGATTTCAGATAACATGGATTTAGTCTATTCATCAGGCAAACATCGTCAGGGAAGATTTTTACAAGTAGCCTATTTTGGGATTTTTTTCAACCTGGGCCCTATGTTTATAAATGTGGGTGTGTACATGAATAGCACTGACAAAATCTTTTTGAATTGGTCTAGTTCATCTGCTGCTGAGCAATAGTCCAGTCTCAAATTGTTATTCTGGGTTGTTGCTATGAGTGTGGCAACATTAGACATGTCTCCCTCAACCAGAGGTCTTACCTTTAAATCTCATGAGACTTAAGTTGTTGCAGGAAGGCGCAAGTGGAAATGTGAGTGAGCATATATAGACCAATTAAGAGCATATATTCTGCAGATGCATGCATATATGTTAAGGTATGTTCCTTCACGTTATTTCTTCTTCTCTTTACATTTTTTTTGCTGTGAAAAATTATCAGGGGATGTTTTTCACTGACAAAACTTGCACTGTTCAAGTGAGAATAACAGAGAATGTGATAAAGTAGGTGGAAGGGGAAGTAACACTTCATTGATGGGGAAAAAAGAGGAGAAGATGAGTAGGGGAGGAGACAGCGAGTGAGCTGAAGGTGAGAAAAGACGGTAAGGTATGGAAGGGAGAAATATAGCACAGAAGAAAATTTCAGAGGAGGAGGAAAACAGGGAAGGTAAGGGAGCAAGGAGGAGGCAGGTGGGAGTTGTAGGGGATGGTTTTGGGAAGAAGATCGCAAGCCAGACAATGTCAGCATGGAAATATAATTTCCAAACCCTGCATGATGTTTGTCTGGCAGACCTGCTGTGTTTAGACAGGCAAGTTTAGTACACAGACACACAGTCGCACAAAAGTGTGTGTGTGTGTGTGTGTGTGTGTGTGTGTGTGTACTTCCTGTAGGGGAAAGGCGTCTGCACTGCAGTGAAACACAGACCAGTGATCAAACAAAGTAGAAAGAAGCAGGAAACCCCCCGCCTCCTCATTCAATTTACATTATACACTACACAGCCTCAGATCTGTTCTTTGAAGAGGCCTAGTAGTGTGTGTGTGTGTGTGCGTGCGTTTGTGTGTGTGTGTGTGTGTGTGTGTGTGAGTATGCGTGTGTTTTCTGCTCTGATCAGAAGTTATTTCGTTCCTCTATCCATGATGCCTCTGTTGCCATGGTTATCATATGAGCATTTTTTTTCCCTAAACGATAGCTTATCAGTGTTTAAGAGCAGCCACCGCTCTTTCCATGCTATTATCTCCCCGTCCCTTGTTTTCTCTGTGTCTCTGCACGTTGAGCAAGGTGTTTTTTGAAAAGATGCATTTCCCCACATCCCATAACAAAACAATAAAAACAGTGAACAGTTTTGTCAGACCATCCACTCCCACGAAAAAAACAAACCCACACTTGCTGCCACTGCTCCTGGAATGTTTTATTCATATCAGGAGATAAAAACTGAATCACCTTCCTCCTACTCGTTCCAAAGTT